TATATATATATATATATATATATATATATATTCAAAGATCGTTTCATTTCGTCTCTATATTAGGATTATATATTAATACCAACCTTTTTTTATAAAAAAAAAAATCACGCAGATCCTGAAAAGCAACCCTTTTTGAACTGGGAGACGCGGTACAAAATGATAGTAGGGATTGCTCGAGGGCTTCTTTATCTTCACGAAGATTCTCGTTTCAGAATAGTCCATCGCGATCTCAACACAGAGGTTTACCACAGAGGTTTACCAGTAAAATAGCAGGAACCTAGTAAGTAGTTGACAAAACTTTTCATATATATAATCTCCTTGATTAATGATTCAAGTTAAACCTATTTTATATGCATTTTGTTTGAAAATGCAGTGGATATATGGCTCCTGAATATGCCATGAACGGCCAATTTTCAGTGAAAACTGATGTCTTCAGCTTCGGAGTATTACTCCTAGAGATCATTACCGGCAAAAGGAACAACTGGAATTGGTCGCCAGATGAAGAAGATCCACTCTATCTTCTTAGTTATGTAAGTGAATATATATCTATACATACATATATACACTAACAATTTTACATATTTTGTCTCTCTATCTAGGATCTTAGACTCGTAAACAAAGACTTAGAATCTGGGTTGTGGTTTAATCTATGTACAATATATATATATATGTATAGGCGTGGAGAAGTTGGAGGGAAGGGACAGTACTAGACATAGTTGACGAGACGTTGACCTCTGGACCAAGAAACGAAATCTTGAGATGCATGCACGTGGGGATGTTATGCGTACAAGAGAACCCGACAAGTAGACCGACAATGGCTTCGACGGTCGTAATGCTCAACAGTTTCTCTGCCACTCTCCCGATTCCTTCGCAACCCGCCTTCCACGTGTCTTCGTCAACGACCGAAGAATCAAATGGATCCATGAGTCAAGTCTTACCAATTTCCTCGAATTCTGCTTCGGTTACCGAGTTGGACCCTCGTTAAATTAGTGTCTTCTTCTAAGAAATAGTACACTGCAACATATATATTTTGATGCAAGACACGCCTATATATATATATACACACACACGTGTGTGTGTGTGTGTGTCATGTTGAGGGGATCTTGTTTGATTTTATCTTTTCTTAAGCTTCGAAATGGTGGAGTGTAATTCTTGTATTTGCGAATTCACTATTGATGGGCTCATGGACTTTAAATAAACCTAATTAAAAATTTAGTTCCATTTAGATTGGATAATTATTACAACTCCCATAAAAATGAATAAAATTCGTGATTTTTACGTTATTTATATATATTTTCATTCGAAATAATTGAATTTTATTAGTTTAAAACAGGTTCAATGCCACGCCACGCAAAAAAAAAAAAAATCCTTGCATGGTTCGCAAACCAATCCATACTCTATTGATTTAGATTCAAAAATTTTATTTACGAGAAACAGATAGAAAAGGAATTATGTAATTTAATTGTAGTAAATTTATCTGTAAAAAAAATAAAAAATAAATAAAATCAGACCAATTGATCAGGCCGACCAAACCAAAATGGTCAAAAAGGGGCCCAGTTGGTGCTTAAGAGAAACAAACTGAGAATCAGGCCGCAAGGAACCGAACCGAAACACACTCCAAATTAATGGGTCTAACACTAATACCTATGAATTTCATGATAAGAAATTAAGGATTGAAAATTACAAAGAGTTGACCTCTGTTTACATTTTTTAAATATGAATCATGATATTCATAGAATTGTAAATCCTACAAAAAAAATGATAATATAAGTTCTATTCAAAATCTTTGATTATCAACAAGAGCAACATTAGTATTAATAACAATAATTACCTTACGATTAATTTGATTTAAAATGAGATGAGACGAATGTTTGCGAATTAGACAAAGCATCTGTGGCCAAAAACTTCAAGGCAATTTCATGAATCATCGAACAACCTCTCTCTCTCTCTCTCTCTAGATCTCTCTCCCAAAAAAAAAAAAAAGGAAACACAACTTGTATGTATGGTCCGTGAAGCGGATAAGAATTGATCGGCCTCTAATACATCTTCATAGTTTCTCATGCAAGATGTATAGTTCAAACCATATTTCACCTGTTTACGTGTTGTTGTGCTGTGAATCCGGAAATTTTACATAATACATTAATGGAAAATGTAGTTCCGTATTAATTATGAGTAATTAAATAAATCAAATATGCATTTTATGACGTCATGTTGCCATAGATTTCCGTTACAATTTGATGTCTGAAATCGACCAGGTGTTTCAGTGTCCCACTTTTTATCACAAAAGTGCCCTGAATCTAAAACTCCCACGAGAAATATGTGATGTAATAAACCCCCCAAAAAATATATATATATATATATATATATAAACTAGAAAGAGGGTGAGTTCTGTAACTCCTCGTGTCTCAGTTTCTTACCGACTTGTCCAATAAAAGGAACAGATATATTCTCATCCTCACACTGCATTTTCATAAATTGAATTTGATTCAGGTTTAAACATCTAATCAAGTCTGTTATTTTACGGTAATTTTTTAATGAAATTTATTGTAGAGCCATTGCTATACAAACAGTATTTGCTTCTAAGAAACAGTATTTTAATGAAATTTATTATAGAACCAACGCTGTTTAAATAGCAACCTCTGTGGACGGTCATCACCCGTATCTAATGAAAATAATAATAGTAAACAAAAAGAAAAGAAATATAATATTATGGTCGGTTCTTTTCTTACACCAAGTCACGATATTATTATGAAAATGACATACAAAGTCATATATATATGCACTCTTGGTTAATAAAAATAAACATTTTCCGATTACTTAAGAATTGACAAAAAAAAATTATCAGGTATGTTGAATTTATACTAAAATATACAAACTTGAGTTGGTTATTGGAAATTGATGTACTCTTACATTTGTTATATATGTTAAATCGAATCGACGTAATGTTACAAACGACGTAAATACGTCTCTCTCTCTCTATATGTATATGTATATGTATATGTATATGTATATGTTGTGTTGGATGGGCACAAATTTTTTTTCGGAATTATGAGTGATGCGATTTATAAATAATTTGAATCAGTCTCTTTTTTTTTGGGTAAATGAATCAGTCTCTTTTTATAACAATGATATATGTACTACAGCGTTTTATGTATGCAGTGTGCATATATATGCATATATATATATATATATATAATACTGGATTGATTAATTGCGTTTTAGATTTAAACAAACTCTAATGCAGAATTTTCTATACTTTTCAATAATAATATTAGCATTCTGTTATGATTAACTCCTTTATGTTAACTTTGGAATTCCCATGAGAAATGATATTTTTCTACATGAATTTAGCAAAATGTAACATTTTCATACACGTATTTTAATTTGACAAAAAACTACATTGAATTCAAAATTTCTCAAATATTTATACGAATTGTCAAAATTAATAGTAATTACATACATAATCATCATTTCGTTAAATTTTTTTAGATTATATTAACTAATCTATTAGCTAGGTAATTATTATAATTACAATATACTTTAGTGCATTAGTTAATAGAGTTTGAAATTTTTTAATGAAAATGATTATTATGTATATAATTACTGTTAATTTTAACAATTCATTCATGTAGATATTTGAGAAATTTTGAATTCAAGTATAATGTTTTATCAAATTAAAAATACGTGTATAAAAAATATTATATTTTACTAAATTTGTGTAGAAAAATATCATTTTCTCTAAATATATTGATGTAACGGGGGACAATTTCACCACTGTCGCATTAATTAACCCATACGATCAATTTCCATAAATCCGCTGGAAAGTTTATTTGATTGTAAGATATCGGTTACGCACCATTTTATATCTAGCGAAATTTATTGTACGAGCTCCCTGACCTAGAATGATTGCGAAATAAAAGGCAATTCCATACAAAAAATAAAAGAAAAAACCAATGATTTTGGTAATATAATGAAATAACGATATTTATTTTTAACACGCTTTATAGTATGACGACAAAAACAATTTAAAGCGATGTGGCAGTCAAGTACATGGGCAATTAGGTAATTTCTAAACGCCGAGCCGTAACGCCTTCAGAAAAGGGTGGGTTGGATGAGACTATAAATGTTGGAAACAGTGTGAAGTCCTAAGCATAACAAACTCTTAAATACCGAAATAATGAATCAACCACCACTCACCGGCGATGGACCAACCGCCGTCAAAGCAACCTCCTCCGGTGGCGGAACGCGGCATCCGGTGTACCGCGGTGTACGGAAACGGCGGTGGGGAAAATGGGTATCTGAAATCAGAGAGCCCCGGAAAAAAAAACCGCATTTGGCTCGGGTCTTTTCCGGTGCCGGAGATGGCGGCAAAAGCCTATGACGTGGCAGCTCTGTGCCTGAAGGGACGAAAAGCTCAGCTCAATTTTCCCGATGAAGTCGACAATTTACCCCGACCGTCCACATGTACGGCCAGAGATATTCAGACGGCTGCGGCCAAAGCTGCTCACGCCGTCGTCAAGACCAGGACCAAGACCGACCACGAAGAAGTTGTCGTCCCCGACATCAACAGCGACAATTTCTGGGAGAACATTGACCTGCCGGAGTTGATGTTGACCGGAGGATGGTCTTCGCCTTTTCCCGTCGGAGATGCCACGTGGCTCGTCGACGGCGAGTTCATGGCGTGTCTATGATTCCGTATCTCTCTCTCGTCGTATATACGTATATGTTCCCGCAATTATGGGTTGTACACTACTGTTGGCTCGAGCTTAGAGGTACTACACCTTTATGCATGTAAATGTTGGTGTTTGTTTACTCATGGTTGATTAATTAAAGCGCCCTATATTTAATACGTGCCATTTTGTTACTGCCTTTTCCCACTTGTATTATTATGGAAAGTAACCTTAATATATATCAAGATATTATATAATATTATTCTTGATTGAATTTATGTTATTGCGTTGCATTGATTAATATATATGCATCTTTATTGATTTATCTAGCTTCCAACAAAGGAAGAACAGAGGAATAGTAGAGAGTTTTTGGAAAGATTTTCTGTATTTTCTTATTCACTAATGTTCCTGTACATCCTATTATATACACGTATGAGCTGAGAAATTCAAATCTGTAACAAATATTTGAAATGAAAAATAGAGCGGGAAGAATAGAAAATTGGAGCGACAATCGGTTCAAACCGAATTTGACAGGAAACCAACCAAAACAGAATGGACACGTTGTGCCATTACCATCACTATATATGTACACTAGGACTAGCTTTTAACAAATGCAGAGATAAATAACTGAAAAATATCTCTGATAACAGCCCCTTAATAAAACTTGCCATTGCCATCACTATATGTGTACACTAAGACTCCCCCTCAAGATGGGGATAGAACACTACAAAAAAATGGTCATTTCCAACGGGTAAATCCGTTGGAAATGGCCAAATTTCCGTTAGAAATTAACGTTTCCAACGGATTTATCCGTTGGAATTTCGTCGTTAGAAATCGGTGTCCGTTGGAAAACCGTTGGAATTTTCAACGGAATTGCAACGAATTTTTCCGTTGGAAATTTCCAACGGATTTCCAACCGGCATCCGTTGGAATTTTCCAACGGATTTCTAACCGCAATTTCGGTTGGAAAATTCCAACGGAATTTCCAACCGATATCCGTTGGAATTTTCCAACGGAATTTTCAACCGCATTCCGTTGGAATTTTCCAACGAAAAATTCAAAACATATTCCCGACCCGACACCGACACCGACACCGACACCGACACCAACCCGATCCCGAAACTCACTTCCCAGTAGGTCACCCATCCTTCCACTGCTCCAGCTCAATCCTCCTTAGAAATTAACGTTTCCAACGGATTTATCCGTTGGAATTTCGTCGTTAGAAATCGGTGTCCGTTGGAAAACCGTTGGAATTTTCAACGGAATTGCAACGAATTTTTCCTCACCGAGGATAACTGAGAGAGTTTCTTCAGACCCTTTTAGGTGTCTTGCGTTCCAAGAAAGAAGGCTTAGGTATATCTCTATATCTATACATATCAATCTACATCTACATATATGTGTGTGTTACACACTCTGGCAAGGGCGTATAATTCATTTTCTGCTTCATCTTTCTGATTACGTAATAAACTCTGTAACAAAACCTTTGGCAGCCATAGAAGTGAATCTTCATTCCTCTTACTATCTTTATCTCCAAACACTTTGCTGGAATCCCATTGAATCTATTGCCATGTAGAATCTAAACCGTGGGATCTATAATTGTAACTATTCTGAAAGATTTTTGTAAATCTTGATGACATTCCAATCTATGTTGTTCTTCATTTGGTGAAAGTCCAAATACATAATATTTATATGTGTGTATATATATATATTTAAATATACGAGTTTTTTATATATTTATACATATATATATATGTATAAATACATGTATATTTTGTGTATATATATTTTATATATATATAGGAAATATATATTATACATATATGTATATGAATTCGAATATATATATATATATATATATTTCAATTGATTTTTCAATTAAAATCCAAATTTTCATTCGATGTCCGTTGGAATTTTTTTTTAAAATTTTGAAAAAAATTTCCAACCGGCATCCGTTGGAATTCGGTTGGAATTTTTTTTAAAAAAATTTCCAAAAAAAATTCCAACCGGCATCCGTTGGAATTCCGTTGGATTTTTTTTTTAAAAATTTTCAAAAAAATTTCCAACCGGCATCCGTTGGAATTCCGTTGGAATTGTTTTCTAACAAACATCCGTTGGAACTCCGTTAAAAATTTGCAACCGATTTTTCCAACGTTAATCCGTTGAAAATTTCCAACGGATATCCGTTGGAAATACCGTTGGAAATTTCCAACCCAATTTTTCAATTGAATACGTTGAAAATTCCGTTAAAAATTTCCAACGGGTGTTTCCAACGGATACCCGTTGAAAATTTTCAACAGAATTTTAACGGAAATCGTCGTTGAAACGCCGTTGAAAACCATTGAAAATCCGTTGGAAAATCCGTTGGAATTCGAGGATTTTTTTGTAGTGAGTCTTGTGTCATTATGGGAATGATGATATAATAAGACTAGTATGATGTGTGATTGATTTTTTAAAAATTTTCAAAAAAATTTCCAACCGGCATCCGTTGGAATTCCGTTGGAATTGTTTTCTAACAAACATCCGTTGGAACTCCGTTAAAAATTTGCAACCGATTTTTCCAACGTTAATCCGTTGAAAATTTCCAACGGATATCCGTTGGAAATACCGTTGGAAATTTCCAACCCAATTTTTCAATTGAATACGTTGAAAATTCCGTTAAAAATTTCCAACGGGTGTTTCCAACGGATACCCGTTGAAAATTTTCAACAGAATTTTAACGGAAATCGTCGTTGAAACGCCGTTGAAAACCGTTGAAAATCCGTTGGAATTCGAGGATTTTTTTGTAGTGGAAGGTGTTGAATACCCATCTTGACCATCAATCTCCGAGAAAGATCCACCGAGATAGGTTTGGTCATGATATCGGTAACCTGGTCCGAAGCAGAGAGATGTAAGGGTTTGAGAAAACCAGACTTCAGATGTTGCCGGACAAAATGGCAATCAAGCTCGATATGTTTCGTCCGCTCGTGAAACACAGGGTTATTTGCAATATGAACAGTACTTTGATTGTCACAGAATAGCGTCACGGGTCGAGGGCTGTCAATCGATAATTCTCTTAGTAAGGTATCCAACCAAACCAACTCACAGCAAGTTTGCGCCATTGCCCTATATTCAGCTTCGGCACTACTTCTGGAGATAGTATGTTGCTTCTTAGACTTCCAAGAGATTAAGGAATCGCCTAAGAAAACACAAAAACCCGTAACAGATCTGCGAGAGTCTGGACAGCTTGCTCAATCGGCATCAGCATAGGCACTCAGACGAATCCCAGACATTGCAGAATAGAACAGACCCTGTGCAGGAGCATTTTTCAAGTATCGAAAGAACTCAAAAGGCAGCTTGTAAATGATGTGTCCGAGGGGCAGACATATATTGACTCAGTTTTGTCACCAAGAAACAAATATCCGGTTTGGTTAAGGACAAATAAATGAGCTTGCCAATGAGTTGTCGATAAACCAGAGGATCAGGAAGTGGATCACCTGAATCCTGGCCGAGCTTTTCCTTTATATCCATGGGAGTAGCCACAGGTTTACATCCCAACATGCCAAAGTCCTCCAGTAACTCTAAAGTGTACTTCCGTTGACAAAGGTAAATGCCCTTTCGAGAACGAACCACCTCCAAACCAAGGAAATAGTGTAAAGGACCAAGATCTTTAATCTGAAAAGCAGCACTTAAAGCAGATTTAAGATCAGCAACCATGGTCAAGTTGTTACCGGTAATGAGTAAATCATCCACATACAAAAGAACCACAACAATATCAGAACCTCGCCTTTTGCAGAACATGGATGAATCAGACTGGGCTTGAGTAAACCCAGCAGCAGCAAGAACCTCAGAAATTTTGAAGTTCCATTGCCTAGATGCCTGTTTGAGACCATAAAGGGATTTCTCAAGCTTACAAACAGAATCAGAAGGCAAACTCTCCCCCTGAAGTTCAGCATAACCAGGTGGAAGCTTCATATAGATCTCCTCATGCAAGTCACCATTAAGAAAGGCATTACTAACATCCATATGGCAAAGAGACCAACCAAACTTAGCAGCAAGAGCCAACAAAGTCCGAACAGTTGTAAGCTTGGCAACAGGGCTAAAGGTTTCAAAATAATCGATGCCCTCCATTTGAGTATAGCCTTTTGCAACTAACCGAGCCTTGTGCCTCTCAACAGACCCGTCAGCATTGAACTTGGTTTTGAATACCCACTTACAACCAATATGATGTTTACCAGCAGGCAAAGAACAAATAGTCCAAGTCTTAGTCCTAGCGAGAGCCCCCAACTCAAGTTTCATAGCTTCTCTCCACTGAGTAAACTTTGCTGCCTGGGTATAGGTCTGAGGTTCGGGAACTGTGGTAATGGACAAGGTAAAATGGCGATAGGCAGAAGATAGAGTATCATAGTTTAAAACAGAGGCAAGAGGATGAGAAGTAACAGAAGAAGAAACACAAGGTGAAGAAGAACCTTGTAAAAGGTAACAATGATACTCAGAAAGATAAGCAGGTGGTCTGTTGTGTCGTTGTGGTCTGACATTATGACCCTCAATCAAAGAATCATTACCAACTGGCTCAGGAGGAGAAGAAGGAACACAAGGAAGAGAGGACTCAACCGGAATAGAAGGTGAATCAGGAACTGGCACAACAGAGTCATAGAAAAAAGGAGAAACTGACAGGGGAAGATAATGTGGCAGACTTAAAAGGAAATATCGACTCATGAAACACCACATTCCGAGAAATAAGAATAGTATTAGACTCCAAATCCAAGAGTTTATACCCTTTGACACCATGAGGATACCCGAGAAAAACACACTGCCGAGAACGAGGACTAAATTTATGTCTGTCCTTGACTTGAGTTGATACATAACAAAGACACCCAAAGACCCTTAAGTGAGAATACTGAGGTTTCTGTTGAGTAAACATTTCAAAAGGAGATTTATTATCGATAACAGGAGAAGGTAACCGATTGATCAGATAAACTGAAGTGAGTATACAATCCCTCCAATATGATAAATGAACATTTGACTGAAACAGAAGAGATCTAGCGACATTTAAAAGATGTTGATGTTTCCTCTCAACAATGGAATTCTGTTGTGGAGTGTAAGGACAAGAGAAATGATGATCAATACCCTTCTGAAGAAACAAATCAGTAAAAGAAAGCTCAGGAGCATTATCCGAACGAACA